CTTGATGTGTTCACCAATGTGGAAACTCATCAAACCCCCTTGTTCAAGAGTTTTTATAGAGCTTGATCTCCAGTGCTCTTCTTGGAGGTTGGTGGATAGGGCTGAAAATTCCAACTAATTGTTTGGTCTTTCTGGTGACCATTTTCATGTTGAAGCTAACTAGAGGCCTCACCCTAAGTCATCTCATTAGCATAAATTCACATGAGATCCAAAGGAACTCATTATGAATAACAAAAGACACTCCTATCACTCAGGAACTTCTAAAGGTTGTAGGGGCTTTGCGCCAGGAACCAGGGACAAAGACCTAATATAGTTCTTATTATACCACCTGGCACTTCAGAGATAGAACTGGTTTTTCTCTTGAAATGATGTGACCTAAATGTCTTATTTATAAATTAAGAAGTCAGTGTTCAGATTTCACCCCCATAACCCATCTCTACTCTCCTCCAGACTTCTCTCTTATAGGAGAAGATTCACGACCAGAGAAATTGAGAGAAGAACCTGCCCTGCATGACTTCAGGAAACCTGCCTGTGCCCCCTCCCTCTTAGCAGTGTTCAAAATACATGAGTTTCCAAAGTAGGTCTTAGAAAGCAGAGATTCTGACTTTTCTACTCTGTCTCACAGAAACCAACTCTATTAGTTTTCTATTGCCTATAATGAATTACCACAAACTTAGTGACTTAAGACAACACAAATTTATTATCTTACAGTTCTGAAGGTCGGAAGTCTAAAATGGGTCGCATTTGGTTGAAAACCAAGGTGTTGGCAAGACTGCATTCCTTCCTCAGGTTCTAGGGGTAAATCCATTTCCTTACCTTTTCAAGCTTTTAAAGGCTACCCAATGTCCTTGGCTCATGGCCCTTTCCCACCTTCAAAGCCAGCAGCCTCAGGCTGAAGTCTCCTGCTGCCATCTTACTGGCCCTCACTCTTCTGCCCTCCCACAACTTCCCCTTTAAGAACCCTTGTGATTACATTGGGCCTACCTGGATAATCTATGATACTCTCTTCATTTTAAAGTCTCCCTATTAACAACCTTCATGCCTCTCTTCCGGTGACCTAACATATTCATAGGTTCTGAGGATCTGGATGTGGCCATCTTCCCAGGAGCATTAATTCTGCTTACTACACCTACCATCATTATGTATGTGTCCAGAATAATTTTTATTATTACAAAATTGGAATTTTCATTTTGGAATGTTTTCACTTTCCCTAGATCCTCTAATTCCACATGGCATGCTTCCTGGGAAATTTTACTGCTGCATTGGAGGAAAGAAACTGAAATGACTACCTCGATTATCATTTAAGCACAGTATAATGATAGTAGTTTGCCTTTTAGTAGAACTTAGAGAATTTAGACATCCCTGTGAGGTGATTTGGTGTTTTTCCTACATTTTTGTAAATGACAGAATTGCAATGTAAACATTTCCAGGGTGTGCTAAGTAACTCTTTGAGGACATAAAACACTTAATTCAACTAGTTTCTATAAACTTCAGTGTGTTGAAATAGTGTGTTGTTTATGATGTGCCATTTACCGAATTCAAAAGCAATGTTAAAAAGTTAGAGTTCTGACTTTCTGCATTTCTGCATGTTTTTTTCCTTCTCAGCATCCACTGTTGAGGCAAAATAATAAGGGATCCTTGAGCAAGGTAAATGTGACTCAAGCATCAGGCACTGATGTCTTAATACAGCAACCTCTTCAGCCTGGGCCATTAGTACTAATGTCTTGGCAGGGAGCTCTAGGTCAGCACATTAAACCTCCAGGAGCTTTAAGAACTTTCGGGGATGAAAGAGAGTGTACATAAGAGAATAGCAACATAAGAGAAACTCAAATATGAGAAAAACATCTGGGTTAATTCAGGCCAAATCTGAAGACTTGGAGGTTTTGTGAAACATAATTCATGGTTATGATTGTTGGAAAACTGATTCTGTGCATTTAAAACTATATACTATGTTTTATACAGTTGAAATTATGTTAAATATTAGCTGTCTTCTTGTTGCTCAGGTCTGAAATAGACAAGTATAGGGACACCTTTGTTATAGGAAGAAGTGTTGTCTAAAGGCATTAGCTTGTCTTACTCTCGGCTAGTCTGAGCCTCCAATTGCTGCAAAGCCCCTTTACCCCCACCTACAGTTTTGCCTTTGGTTTACCCTGGGTGGGAAGGGAAGGAGGGAGAAAGAGAAGGAAGGGAGTTCCATGAGTAGGAAGTGAAAGAGTGAGAAAAGAAAGGGAGCTCTGCGGCCCAAGCATTTCAGCACCAAGTCAGCCTTGCTATGCTGTTAGTCCGGTGCTGAAGCGAGACCCTGCTTGGTAACACCTGCACGTCCTTTGCTAACAAGGTCCTTGCCTTAATATCCTGTACTTGAGACTTTGTCGTGGTTATCCTTTCCAGCACCATTCCTTTTAGACAACAGTCATGCCTTCCACTGATTTGTGGAAGTCATGCCTTCCACCCAGCCCTTGCCCACCCCATCTCTCACTCTACAGGGCACCAAGGTCCTATTTCTGAAACTCGGCTGATGGCCAGACCAATTGAACCCCTCTCCATAGCTGGCCTCCACCAACTCCCCTTGTCAGGACTCTCCCATCACTACTGTGATTTTTTTTCTAAGGAAACATATAGAAAAGTACAAAGAATACTCTATTACAGTGGTTTTTGAATTTTAGTGTGTATCATAATCACCTGGAGGGCTTGTTAAAACACAAGTTGTTGGGTTTTATCCCCAGAACTTCTGATTCAGTAGGTCTGGAGTGAGGCCTGAGATTTGCATTTCTAACAAGTTTCCAGGTGATGCTGATGCTGCTGATCTGGGGACCACATCTTGAGGACCACCAGTTTATCACATATATATATGCACCCACTACCCAGTTTTAACAGATCTTCATATTTTGCTGTATTTGCACTAGATCTTTTTTTCTTTTGCAAGAAATGAAATGATATGACACAAATGATTGCCCTACTCTCCTTTTCCTATTTCTTCTTTTTTTCTGATGACAACCACTGCCTGCCAGAACTGTTCTCTCTGGATACAGTGCACCATCACTTGGCTGAATTTCCTGCCATTTGGAGTTGGATCTGAGTCCCTAGCTGCAGCTTGACTCCTTGATTTCCATCTTGCAGTGTTTCACATGCTATCTCGTCCTGCTACTCTTAATTTTTCTGTCCCTGCTAGGTCACATGATGTAATGGAATATACATTAAACTTTCATTAAGAGAAGTAGAATTAGGTTTTACTGTGAGAAGGACTGTTCTTACTCAGCAGGAAGTGTTCATTCTATTCATTAAAATGTAGGTGGAGAGAGCAAATATCAGTAACAAGGCACCTATAGGAATCTCCCTAAGTAGACTAAGTCAATAGGGCCCAGTCGTAATAATTTAGAAGATTGAAAGCCCTGATCCATCCCAGGCAGATCCCCAGGCTCTGGTATTCCAGCTGCAAAGTCAGGATCAATAGGTAAAAGTGACACACTCCACTGAGGGAACCAAATATTCAAGCTTACGAATTAAGGGCTGAGCTGAGCCAGAACCACAAATATCAGGCTTTTAAATGGGTGGAACACGGAACATTCCAATTTGGTTCTTCTGAAACTATAACTATTTGTCTAAGGGGTAGTCTTGAATCATATAAAAGTAAAATTATCTAAATTACAAAGTAGTCATCATTGGCCAGAATTTTTCTTGCATTCTTTGATCACTTTTATCTTATTTATAGAATTAATGTTAATGAATACATATCTAATTTGACTTGCATTGACCCAGTTAATGCATGCCCCTTAAACATGCATGAAAATAACACCTTTCTCTAGGCCCTCTTCTCGTTGATCCCCATCCCTTTTCTCTTAAAATCTTTGCCGAACTTTCCTCTAAGCATTGCCCTCCCTCCTCTTTCTTCTTTCCCCTTTACAAAGGTAATTTTACTGGCACCTCTTAGTAGGCATGACCCCTGTCAGCTGCTGTGGCTGAGTGAAAATTTGTATTTATCATTTCTTCTTCTTCCTTTTTTCATGAGGAAAACATTAACCTAGGTTGCATCAAACTCCCAACCCAGCTTAGCGTTTCTGGGTTGAGTAGCTGTTGAGTTGGTTTACTTACCAGTGGGGCTTCCCACATTTCCCCTGCCTTTACAAATTACTGGAAAACGAGGCAATCTGTAATATAAACTGGATGGGCACTATATTAGTCCATTCTCACACTGCTATAAAGAACTACCTGAGACTGGGTAACTTATAAAGAAAAGAGGTTTAATTTACTCACGTTTTCTCAGGTTTAACAGGAAGCATGACTGGGAGGCCTCAGGGAACTTACAATCATGGCGGAAGGTGGAGGGGAAGCATGCACATCTTCACAATGGTGGAGCAGGAGAGAGACACAGTGAAGGAGGAAGTGCCACACACTTTTAAACAACCAGATCTTGTGAGAACTCTGTCAACAAGACAGCACTAGGGGAATGGTGCCAAACCATTAGAAACCACCCGATGATCCAGTCACCTCCCACCAGGCCCCACTTTCAACACGTGGGGATTACAGTTGCACATGAGATTTGGGTGGGGACATAGAGCCAAACCATATCAGACACTCAAGTGTCACAGGAATTTACTTGAGGGACAAGTTAATTCTGATGGGGAGATCTGACACTAACCCATTTTAATTCATGTAAAATCTAATACAAGCACTGTGTGTACTTAGTTGTGCATGGTACTCACATGTAACTACTCTTATGAGATTAGCATAACATTTATGGTCCAGTATCTATATCATAGTCATCTAACATTTCTATCATTATCCCATCAGATAACAAGGAAAAGCATCCAGGCTGCAGATTAAACACCACCACCAACAAAAACTCAAAAAATCAATTTAAACACACACACGTACAGACACATGATATCTCACAAGGACAAAAAAAGAAATCCTCATAACAACCTAGGCTGGGTGTGGTAGCTCGCACTAGAAATTCTAGCACTTTGGGAGGCTGAGGCAGGTGGAGTGGATAACTGGAGTCAGGAGTTCTAGACCAGCCTGGGCAACATGGCAAAACCCCGTCTCTACAAAAGCAAAACAAAACAAAACAGAAAACAACCTAAAGAAGGTAGATTTGGTTATTTGCAATAGAATATTTTAGGTTCTTTCCTCATTCCATAACTGATGTTACTGTTTTTCCACAAAACATGGCATTTTGTCAATTAGTTAATTTAAGAAATTTTCTCAGTGGCCTCGTTAGCTCTAGGGGTCCCTTTGGGCTCTTGATACTCCCTGAAGGAAGGATCTATTTCTCTCCTGCTCTTCCTGCACCCACAGCTGGGGGAAGCTGAGGAGGGACGAACAATCAGTCACAGCGCTCCTCCAGGACTGTCCTCTCTGCCCCAATCTTTGAGAAAGAGCATCCCCTTCTTCCTTTCCCTGGCCACTGTGGCTGCCCCTAACATGCTCTCAGGGCCTGCGACCCTCTCCACAGAGGGGATGTGGCCCATGGTCATGACATAACCTGGCAGCAGTAGGAAAAACTCCCTTCTGTGAAGGGGAAGCAGACTGGGCCATAAAGAAACAGTGGGACTGGCTCAAGTGCCCAAAGTTTGCTTAGGGCCTGGGATTGGCTATGTGTTTTTTAATTTATTGAGAGGAGTTGAGTAGGTGGCTTTTATTTCCCCTCCCTCTTCCACCAACAAGAATAAAGTTTATTAAACTAAAAACATTCTTTGCCTTCTTCTTTTTCTGGAAGAAATACCTGAAGACTGGTGGGCAGCCAGATTGACTGGACCTTTAGGGATGGGAACAGGAAGAGTGGGCGGTGAGTCTGCCCAGACACAGTGGGGCCAGATCACAGAAGTCTGAGCAATTGAGACTTTTCTTTCTGGAAAGAAAAAGAAGGTAAAAGGAACTTTTTACTTAATTAGGGATTTAGAGCTTCCTAAAAGTCATGAGAATATTTTGGACTAGTTTCAAGAGAGAAATGCTAGAAATTCACAGTTTTTAGAACAACTGTCATATGTGAGTGCTTTCTCCTCTTTTTTTTTTTCCTTTTAAAATCTAAGGTCTGAGCCGTACATAGAGTTAGGAATTCAAAACTTGAGATGAAAGGAATGCTGATTTATGTTATGATGGCATTATTTTCCCCTACATCAGATCAGGTTATTAATATCAGTGTTTTTTCCAACATGATGATTTTACCGAGTGACCGTCCATCCTGAGGGAATTATCGTAAATGAAACATAAACGTAAATGACCACAGGAACACAGAGATCTATAAAACATCCAACACTGGGGAAATGCAAAATGTTCCAGGGATTGGACGTGTTTTGGTGCAGGGATCCTCAGCTGCAGGCCAATGGAATTTAATTTAATATACGTACTGCCACGCAGAATTAGGCATATATTGGCACAATCAATAAATCCAATCACTTTACCTACAGGACAGAATTGAAATTCTGTCTCCATGTTTTGCCACTATTCACTAATGAAATACGGCTTCCTTGCCCTCACTACAAAGGTCTCCATCTTTCTTTTATGTTTTTTGTTTGTTTGTTTTTGTTTTTGTTTGTTTTTACTTCCCGGAGTGAAATAAGAGTACTTTCTCAAAATTTAATCAAAATTTTGAGGAACATATTCATACTTTACATCATGGTTTTTAAAGGAGTAAACTTCCAATTCAGTTCATCATCGGCACTAAATCATTTATTCTTCGATCTTTCAGGAAGCTTCATATTGCTTTTGCCTCTCTCTTCATCCCTTCCCAATTGTCTCCTTTTGTCCTCCTCACTCTCAATTCCTAATTTTAGCTAATGTACAAATACATATGAGTCTCACTTGTTGGATATATTAAAAATGTATAGCCTAAAATAACATGCTTTTGTGCTTCCAGTTTTCTTAAATTGTTGCTGATTTTCTGTACTATAAACAAAAATACACTTCATCAGTCAGTATCTGGAATTAACCAGCACATATCACAGCATAATACCGGTCTTGTTGGATACCCAACAAGAAGAGTGAATATGCATATCAAACTGGAAATTTGTGCATTCTTAATCTTTTGCCTGCTTCTTAATCAGAACTTTATGTTATCCAAGACTGATAGGAAACCATTTTGTCTTGTTTTCTAAAAGGATCAATGGAATACCCATTCCCTTGTTTATAGCTCACTAAGCTGTACTAAGATACTGTGAGGGATATGTTAAGCATACCAGAGATGATCAATGAATGTGCACACATAATGAAGCCACAAGGCAGGATGTAAGTGCTAGATAAATAGTAAAATAAATTGACACTTTGGCAATCTGTCACCAGATTAATCTTATGTACCCCTTTGATTGTGACATTGACCTTTGCCAAACCCCCATGGCTTTTTGTTGCTACCAACTCAAGTCTCGCTTACTCAGATTTCTGTGGTCTGGCCCCACTTTGCCTGGGGTTATCTAGGCATTACTAGGTGCTATGGTTTAAATGTTTGTCTCCTCTGAAACTCATACTGAAACTTAATACCCAATGTGGCAGTATCGAAAGGTGCGACCTTTAAGAGATGATTAGTTCATGGGAGCTCTACATGCATAAATGGGTTAATCCATTCATGGATTAAGGGGTTAATGGATTTATGGGTTATCACGTGACTTTAGGCATGGGGACAGGGAGGGTGGGCGATGAGTCTGCCCAGACACAGTGGGGCCAGACCACAGAAATCTGAGCAAGTGAGATGTGAGTTGGTAGCAACAAAAAGCCATGGGGGTTTGGCAAAGGCCAATGACACAATCAAAGTGGTACTTAAGATTAATCTGGTGGCAGATTGTTCTCAGGACCTCATTCTGGGATTTAATAACAAGTAATAAATTCTGTTAGAATTAACCTATCTTTTTTCCTCACATCCGGTACTTATTGGAGGTGATGAACAGTTGGTTAATACCTTCTGAATAATAACCCCTTCCCAGGCTTAAAGAGGAAGTCTCATTTAAAATCAGAGAATTTTAATTGGGGTGTAAAGGTGCCGTTGGCACAATTTGGCCAACCCCTCTGGAGACGAAATGAACACTTGCCCATCAAGTTAGTAGGGTCTCAAAACTTCCAGCACCTAACCATTTATTCTTTTTCTTGCTTTGTGACTCCTTGGCTCAACCTCCTCTTTCTCTCAGAGCTTCTCAAACAGATCAATTTTCTCTCCTATGTCTCTAAATCAATAGACTTGGATTCTAGCTGGTGGCTTATTGAATTCTCCAAGTAGGAGAGCCACTCTATCTCTAACATTCCTGACAAGATCCTGCAGGTGCCTAATCTTTCTGTCTGTCTTCTGGGAAATCTTTCTTCTGGATTAAACCTTAAACTTAACCTAATTAAACCTTACTTCTGAAGACTTTCTCCAAATTAGCCCAATTAAATCTCATTTTTCCTGTACTTTGTGTCCCCTAAATCCTTAGTAATGGAAGTATAATGCCTCATTTTTCAGGGTTTTTTGAAGGAATAATCTATTCTACAGGAGAGAAAATTTTAAAGGCTTAAGTTTATTTCTTAATTGTTAATCATTAGTCACCTATTTTTAAAGGTAAATTTTCTGTAATGATATGTCACCTACTTGCCAAGTCTATTGAATATATTTTTTTCTTGATGCTCAAACTGTCCGAACTGCTCCTCCCACAGTCTTTCCCATTTCGTTTATCAGCAATACCATATTTATCATTGCCCAGCAAAATATGTGGAGTCATACTTCTCTCCTCTGTATCTCTCAATCCCCAAATCTATTCCAAGAGTAAATCCTGTTGGATCTACCGCTAACATATACCTAGAATCTGACCAGTTTTTACAGACTATACTCTTTGCATTCAGGACAGTCCTCTGTCATCTCCTGCCTGGATTGTTGCAATAACTTCCCAACTGGTCTCCCTGCTTCTACCGTTGCCCCCCAGCTCCCTGACCAGTCTGTTCACAACATGGTGGAGAAAATGATCCCGGCCAAAAGGAGTTAGTTCATGCTACTCCTCTGCTCAAAACCCTGCAATGCCTTCTTTCCTTTCTAAAGAATAAAAGCCAAAGTCCTTAGAATATTCAATATTGGTATTAAATTGCATGTTTCTGGTAAATTGCATATATTTTTTAACTTGTATTTTTATTGTTCAGAAGCTGTTTTGCATATTCAGGATTTAAGGCTGTGTTCCAGAGTTGAGATGGTTAGATAAGTGGTGGCTTGATAAGGTGTAACTGTGTATTAATTTGTACTTGATGTATTGCTTTGTAGGAATGCTTGTCATTTTGTTTTTCACTTTCTGCCTCTGCAACCAGACTGTTCTTCAAGTAACCCTTTAATTCCCCACCATATGGCTCTCACACCATCAATGATGGCTTATTGTTTCTGCCTATCTCACACTTTGGAAAAGTAAAAATGAACAGCCGAATCAATGATATGATGCCTGTAATTATCAATTTTTTTATCCACTTGAAAAGCTGTTTACCCTTCAGCTTTTCATTCACATTAAATCATTTGAGGATCCTTTCCATTTCTTTGATGCTTACCATTCTTCCATGAAAAGGAACTTAATTGGCAAGTGATCATGCTCTGCATAAAAGAATCTCCCCTGTGCAAATGCCATTTTTTGCAACTTAAATACCATAAATAAATCCCTACCTTAATTCATATTGTGGATAAATTTTACAGATGTAAAATCCATATGCATTATTAGGGTAGTGTTTTCCTCCAGAAAGAGAGGGCTAAATTGTGTTACAATTAACCAAGAGAAAAAGCGAGAGTACATCTGTGTGTGTGTGTGTGTGTGTGTGTGTATGCAAGTAAACGAGTGACCAGGTTAGAAAGTGTGCTATGAGAGAGTGTGTTAAAGAAAGAGTGTATGTGCTATGGTATAATAGAAAAAGCATGACACTGTTAGAAATTTTAATTTATAACCTTGACTTTGATATTAATTTGCTGTATCATCTAGAGAATATTACAATCTATTTGCCCTCAGTTCCTTAACTATAAAAACAATGGATTGAACCAAATCACTGATAGGAAACATGTATATAAAATTCATATTCATGCCTGTAGTAGGTATAACTTGTCAATCTCTAACTGCTAATCAAAAATTTGTCATTCAAATCATTATTAACATAGCACCCTGGAAGTTATTACCAAATAATTAGAAATGGAATATGAGATAAAAACATTTTGCCTTTAATGGTCTTTAAGGTCTCTGATTGTTACTCTCTACAATTATAGGTATGATAGCTTTCCATGTTAGCAAGGCTTATTTATTAAAATACAATAGAAATTTATTACCTATTAAATATATAATAATATTAATTCTAAAATACCACATATTGAATATTTATTATGTGCCAAGTCATAGATCTTTATATATCCATAAATCTATATGTTTCAGATTTGGTCATCTGAACAATTAAGATGGGCATTTTTATCTTAATTGGAAAGCTAAGGCTCAGACAGATTCAGTAATTTGCCCATGATTACACTTCTAAATTTAAAATATTTTAAAATTTATCATTTCTTATCTATAAGCTTGGCAACTTGACCACGTGCTTCATTGGTCAGGTGCTAAGGAAAAATAAATTTTCATCCACTGCTGGTGGGAATGCAAAATGTTATAGCCCCTGTGAAGGAGAATTTGGCAATATCTAACAACACTGTATAGGTGTTTGCTTTATTATTCAGACGTTCCAACCCTAAGAATTTACCCTTAATATACAGCTCCACAAATTCAAAACAATATATGCATAAGTTTATTTATTATGGCACTATTTGTAATGGCAAAATATTGTAACAACCTAAGTGCCCTTACCTAAAGGATTGACTGGTTGAATAAACAACAGATCTACAGATCCCTGTGAATTGATATGGTGTCATATCTAGAATATATTGTT